AAAATCCCCCACCAAATATATATGTTTTCTCGAATTTGTAATTTTGTTTAGAAATGTTTTAAGATGAGTTTTAAATTTCTTTAAGTTTCCAGATGGTGGTGTATATGTAGTATTTATAATTATGTTTTTTTCTTTATTATTTACTAATTCGACGCACAATGATTCATAATCTGTTTCATTGACGCAGAGATCGTTACGTAAAATATAATTAACTGAATTATGGATAAAAATACTAACGCCCCCACCCGCATTAACTTCACGCGGTTGGTGAATTGATGTGTAATTAACTAGTTCAAGTTCATAATTTGTTTCACCGCATTTACACCAAGTTTCCGTCAAACATATAATTTTAAAATCGTGTTTAATTTCATCCAATAAAATTTTTAAATTTTCAAAGTTTTTATTCAAACTTCAAATATTGATATTTAAAATTGAAAAAGTGTTTTTAGTTTGTCCTAGATATTGCGAAGATTCAGAAACTGAGTAGTATTGACTTTCTAGCATTTTGTGATTAAAATTATTAGAGTCGGTGTCATTATCACCGATGATGTCATTTTCATTAGAAGGTTTAGGGTTAGGGGTTAGGGTTAGGGTTAGGGTTAGGGTTAAATATGACATTTTCCTCCATTTTTAAAACAGTTTAATTAAATATGCATAGTAATAATAAAAATAAAATTGCGTTAATTAATGCCAAACATTATGAAGATAAATTTTTGCTTTTCTTTGCAACCCAATCGCGAATTATCAATTTATCATAAGATATGAAGGCAAACTTACCAGCGGCTCGTTCAATTTTCATTTTCTCCCTCAAATTTTTTCTGATTTGTGTTGTTTCAAAACAGAAGTCTTTGTTTATATAAATGCTTTTCCCTTTTAGCTTACTCGACTTGCTCAAGATCGCAACTTTATCTCTAAAATCTAAAAGTTTTTTCACTATTGTCCTCGGCATTTTTAATTTTTTGTTTCCAGTTCTATGGGCCCGTTCAATTTGGACATTTTTAACTGATAATATATCTTCAAAAATTTTTTTTACCTTCATTTCGCTTTCTTCCCAGCTTTCACCTTCATTTTCATCAATTCCATCTACTCTTAAATTGTTACGTCTAGATCGATCTTCCAATTCCCTTAACTTTTTTTGTATACTTTCTGAAATGTCTTCTTTACTGCAAACCTTTGCTTTCTTAACTTTTTCATCAATTAGTTGTTCATGAAAGTTTAAACTAAGTTTCAATTCTTCGATGTCTTTTTCTACTTTTTCCAACCTGCCATTAAATATTTTCAAGTTTCCACTAATAATATCAATAAAAACTTTTTCTTGTTGTTTTAACATCAACTCAAATTCTTTTTTGTAGTCCTCAAACAATTTTGTTATTTCTAATAATGTAACAGCCATATTATAAAAAAAAGATTTGTATTTTAGAAAAATAAATGTAAAGTAATTTCGTTTTAATAAAGTCGTTTAAAAAAAACACGTCCGATCGCGTTGAAGTTGCGGCTAGTAACTTGAATTAAATAAATTTAAATGTGGTAAATAAACTTATAGTCAAACATATAATCATTTCTCCGAAAAATCAGCTAATTTATTTTTATTTATAGTATTATTTTATTTTAACTGGAATAATATAGAAATATATTTATCGGATTATTTTTACGTACACGTTACTACATTGTTGTAATTAGTGTTTATTTTAATCGTGTCTCGAAGTTGTATGCAACTATATTTTTGTTTACTTCGTATATTTTGTACTTTATGTTTATGATATTTATGTTTGTATATCTTTACCGCCAATCTGTGATTGGTTACTTGTAAATACTTTGTAGTTGTAAAATAAACATGTAAAAAAGAAAAAAAAATGATGTACAAGATGAACCGGTTTGTTAGACATGGATATGTTTCGCAGCCAGCATTGTTATGCAACACATTGCTAAATCTTAATTGCCAGAACTTTTTGAGGAAATTGTCTTTTTATCTAAAGTGCTCCTTATCTAGCTATAGCAATACTATATAAATAAATATCCATCTATTAACATTCTAGTTTATATAGAAGGATATATAAAGTATATAACAGTAGTACTTTTATACTATTTTACAACATGTGTTTTTGTATTTTGTGCTGTTCGGAGGGAAAATCATTATTTTGCAACTAAGTTTTCAAGCAGAATTTTTATAGTGAATAGATTTTAATTTAACTTTTTGGGTTTGGGGTTGCCCATAAATTATACCACGTAATTTTTGACTTCCCCTCCCCCTCGTCATAAAATTGTAATACTTAAGTAGCAAGTTTTTGTATGAGACGTAACAAAAACACCAACCCCCTCCCCCTCACAACGTGATGTAGTTTATGGACAACCTCTTTGGAAAATAATTAATTCAAAAACATCCATTATAAGATGTTCCAAATTTCTTTAAATAAATATTTCATGTGTTAAATGTGTTGATAAATATTTAATGTGTTCCCCAAACTTTAGATTTTTATAAATAGCAATAGCGCTTATAACACCTATTTATAGGGATCGACGTGTTTTTTAAACCAACTATAAATAATTGGAATTTATCTGGACTTTTTATTGTAAGGTATAAAAGCAAAATATAAAAAAAATGTTTATTTAAGAATATTTTAAAAGAGTTAAAAAAACCCGGGAAACTTGCAGAACTATTAGGCAATCTGAACAAGAACTGCTGTGGCATTCATGTTTTTGCAATATATTAATTTTAAATATTATTATTAAAAACAAAAACAAAATTAAAACACAATATAAAAGAAGATTATTAAGTAAAAAAGAAAAATCTCAAAGTTGTAATCAGAGTTGTAACCAAATAAAAAAATTTAAAAAAAGTTAATAAGGTTTGTATGCTCTAAAATTTAAAGTTATTTTTTTATTTTTATTTTTTTTTTTTCAAATGAGTTTTTGAAAGCTATTTAAAATTTTGGCTTTAGTAAATAATTAAATAATTTTGCCAAGATTTTATTCCATAAATAAAGAGCACGATTTGTAATTTTAAATCGTCCCTGTTAAGTTTTCCATAAAGGTTCATGTTAAAAGCCTGTTGTGCGTGAAGCATATTTAAAATTAGGTTTTATTTCATAAAAATCATAAAAAATTGAGGGACATTGTTGAAATTTTTCTATATGAAACATAAAATACTTTAAATGTTTAACTTAATAATATTCATTATATCAAAATATGGTTTTGCAAGTTTGTTTTTATTTTACAAATTTATTTTTGTTAAAGTTTACGTCTGTTATCAACCAAGTGTTTCTAGTTTGCCTTTAAAATTAGTAACCAAGGCGATTACTGGTTTGTTGAAGAAACTTTGTATAAAATTAAAATAAGTTTTAGATTATGCTTATTTAGTAAATCTTGCGATATTTTATTTATAATTTGATCATAAATACTTTTTGATATTGTGCTGTTAAAGTAAGAAATATGTGCACACATGTATGGTCATTATATTTACCATGTATGTTCATTATATTTACAATAGTCATAAGTGTTTTTTTTTTTACGGTAGTCAAAGTAACTTATAAGATTGTTGCAAACACTCTTTTTAGGCATACTTATAAAGAAAACTATTATTGGAAGCTAAAAACCCCTCCAACCCATTTATATTATCAAAGTATTTTGATAAAAAATAAGGCGTAAATTTAGCTATAATTCTCGCTTGAACAATTTTTAAAAAAACTTTTGTTGAAAATAAAAAAAAACTTTTGTTAAAAACTAATTTTTGAAGAACTTTTAGTTTTTGAAGAACTTTTAGTTTAAACTCTGAATGTAAGCTTAAGTATTTTGAAAGTTTATTTTTAATGCTCTAAATGCTCAACTTGGTTCAGGTAAGCTAAAATGCTAATCATTTTCATGCCTCATCTCATTTGAGGAAGAAAAAACTGCGCTGATGCCAGAAAACAAAAAAACCTTCAAAAGTAGACATTATTTGCCTAAAAAACTTTTGTTGAAAATTAGTGTTGCTTAAAAATTATATGTAAACTTTAAAACCCTTAGTATTAAATAGTAAACCTTGGTTATAACTTTTAAAGATAAATTTTGTTTGATAAAATATTTTTATTTTATTGTTTTATCAAAAAATTTGTGCTCTCTTTTATTTTTTTTACATTAATTAATCAATTATTATATTTATTTTTTTATATGTTTGTTATTTTTTCTATTCGCTTGGTGTTTCATTAATTAATTAATTTAAAAAAAATAGTTTTTTAGTTCTACAATCCGTTTTATTTTAGTTTTTTTTTTCCCATAAAATATAGAAACCAAAATATAAATGCTTTGATATTGTTTTATAAGTACTTAATATTTTCAACACTTTATAATAAATATTCAGAGTAAATTATACATGGTGTAATTTTAAAACACATGGTTTCAGGGTGTTGTTTAAAACATGAAATTAAAACACATGGTTTAGGGTGTTTAACACTTTATTTTTATGTTTATTCAGCTATTTCATTAGTAATATTTTTTTTTTTCAGAAAAAAAAAACAACAAAAAAAAAAAAAAAAACGGAATAGTTGTAACTTAGCGTTGGATTTTTAAGATAATTTTGTAAATATTTTCATAAAAAACCATTGTTAAATATTTTTTTTAAAAAATGGCTTACTTTTTTGTAAATCTTTTAAAAACGTTTTTGTAAATATTTTTTAAAACATTATGGTAAATTTTTAAAAACATTAATATAAATAATTTTAAAAACATTTTCTAAATATTTTTGAAAACATTATGGTAAACATTTTAAAAAACATTTTTGTAAAAACATTTTTATAAATAATTCTTATAATATTTTATGTTTTCTCAAAGAAATATATTCGTAAAATTTGTTCAACAAACTTTGAACGTGTGACTTTACTTCTATGAGAAAGTGAATTGTCGAAGTTTTTATAGGAAAATATCATTAAAATGAAAAACAAACAGCGCAATGTTTAAGGAGAAAACCTTTATTTGATGAGCCTCTACTTGATAAATTTAAAAGTTATTTTTCAACAAAACTAAAATCAATTGTTTAATACTGCTTTTTTTCCTTTCAAATTTGCTACATTCTGGCTACCTTTGCTACCTTTGTACTCTTCAGACATTATTTTTTTATTGCTAAATCTTTTAATGGCATTGAGCATTCTTTTTGTTGAATAAAAAACTTCATAATTTGCTTCACAAAGACCTAGGGCGTATGTATATCCTAATCGAATTATTTCAGTTTAATGCAGTTTATCAAAACTTTTGTTTCATTTTTTCGCAAACAGATTTTTTGGAAGTTTACTTCTTTATTTATTTTTATTTAGCTATCAGATTCTTAAAAATTTTTTTTTTTGAAAAATTAATAAAAAGAATTCACGATCGCCTCTAGTAGATTATAATTCTTTTTGTGTGTGTTTTCGACTAACCATTTTATAGTTCAACACTATTTAAAACAAAGTACTTACAAAAGGTTGTAGAGTTGCTTCTTGATAACTATACTTAATGAAAACTCAATGGCTTTCCGTTCTCAAATAGAAAAAAGCAGATCCAGGTATGATCATAAACAAAAAATATATATTTATTGAACTAAAGTTATAAATTTCAATATAATAATAAATAATATAACTAAATATATCTAAAAACTCATAAAATCAGTTTTTTTAAACTTTTGCACTTACAATACAATCTTACCAAAATAAAGTTCATAAAAAAGAAAATTACAATTTCAGAGTGTTAAATTCAAATAACTTTTTTTAAGTGCCCGTTGGTAGTTATAAATATTTGTTATATTATCTTAACATTTAAATAGCTATCATCATTAACAATTTCATTCATTCAAAAATAATTTTTAGACACTTGGTTAAAAGAAATAATTTCAAAGAGATAATATTAAAGAGATAATATTAAAAAGCATTTAAAATATTTATTTTTCATTTAGACTCCCAATTATAAGCTGTTGAACTTTGATGTATCCTTTTTAAATACAATTAGTCCGATATAATCCATTTGTATTGCAGTTTGTTGTTACGGTATATCTTGTAGTTTCGACTTATTTGTTAATTGTTGCAATCTGTTCAATACTAATTGTTATTTGAAATGATTTTTTTAAATAAAAATAAAATAGAAAATGCTTCAACTCCAAAGACTTTTTTTGTGAACAGTAGTTTGGTTTTTAATTTGACAAAAGCTCATTTAGGGTCAAACGCAGATTTGTCAAAATGGTTTACAACATTAATTTACTTTGCATACGTGATAACGTTTCTAATTGGTTTTTTCGGAAATCTTTTAGTATGTTTGGTCATTCATCGAAAGAAAAACAAGAAAATAATTCACATTCTTACGTTAAACTTAGCTGTATCCGATTTAATTGTTTTACTGGTATACTTACCTATGGAAGCTTATCAAATTCATACTCAATGGGTTTGGGGTCTTGGAACTGTTTTATGTCAAATATTATACCCTGTAAACTCATGCACCGTAAACGCCTCAATATATACACTTGTTGTTATTACTAGAGACAGGTATATTGCGATTAAGCAACCGATTACTGCAATCAAAAGAAAAGCATCTTCTGTTGTTCGATGGATAATCGGTATATGGATATTCGCTTTCTTATTAAGCATGCCATTAATGTTTGTTGTAAATGCATCAACTATGTATTGTAATGAGCACTGGCCTAATATTCACTTATCTCGTGTTTACTGGTTCACCATATTTGCCATTCAATTTGTTATTCCACTTATATTTATTGTGTTAACCTACATTCTTATCATTTACCATATACAATTTCAAAACTTGTCCTTTAGCAGCGCAAACAGCACGGTTCACACAAAAGTTGCTGGTAATAAAAAACTTCAAGCTCGTCTTTTAAGCGATATTATAGCGGTCTATACTAACACAGAATTGAAAGTACTCAAAAGAGAACGAAAAAAGAGAGCTAACTGCAGGGACATTATTCGACGCAAAAAGCAGTTAAATAAAATTCTCAAAATGATTGTAGTATTGGTTATCGTTTACTTTATATGCGTTTTACCACAACATACAGTATTTGTAGTTTCAACAATTTCTCCAAATGTAACTAAAAAAGAGTTTATAAACTACATATTTGTAACAGCAAACTTTTTTATGATTGCCAACAGCTCTATTAATCCAGTTATATATGGCACATTAAATGATGAAATTAAAAAAGGCGTCAAAAAATTACTTTTTTCAAAGAACAATAAAAAAAATAACCGAAAAACAAGTAATAATAAAGAGTTTGCAAAACATGATATCATAATGTAAAAAAAAAAAAAAAAAAAAAAAAAAAATTAAACAATTCTATAAATAAATTATAATGGTCTTTAAAATTGAAAATAAAATTATTTATTGACTACCTTTATGATTTTTTTAAATTTCAATTTACTTATTTCGTCAATGAACCAGTAATTCTACAATGCTCTTGTAAAAATAAAATGAAATTTTGACATAAGCATGCAGAAAGTAATCATCTTATTATGTTGTTGCTATGTTGCCTGGAATTTATGTTGTTGCTATCATGTTGCTATGTTATATGCAAATTATGTTGTAACTTATTTTTGTATGATTATTAACAAGATAATAATGAATGTAATAATAAGTTTACAATAGATTCGACGACACGGGGAGGGGCCGGGGGGGGGGTTATTCAAAAATCAAACATTTAGTAAGAGTGTATATTAAAAATTATTTTTTTATAATATCTATTATGTAATACTCTTTACACACACACACACACACACACACACACACACACACACACACACACACACACACACACACACACACACACACGCACACACACACACACGCACACACACATATAAATATATATATATATATATATATATATATATATATATATATATCCGACGGGCATTTGTTTTTAAAAGTTACGTTCTAAATGTATTTTAAATGTCTTTTAAACGTCTTCTAAACATTCTTACGCAAAAAACGTTTAAAAGACATTTAAAATACATTTAGAACGTAACTTTTAAAAACAAATGCCCGTCGGGTATATATATATATTACTTTTTTTTTTGCAACGTTTAACATTAAAGAAAAAACTGTATAAATTTTAAATCTTTAGTATATTTTATTTATTTTTTGTTAAGAAATCAATTCATTTTCTATATAATATGGCTGTTACATTATCAGAAATAGCAAAATTGTTTGAAGGCTATAAAAAAGAATTCGAATTGATGTTAAAACAACAGGAAAAAGTTTTTGTCGGTATTATTAGTGGAAACTTAAAAATATTTAATAGATGATTGGAAAAAGTAATGGATGAAAAAGTTAAGAAAGCAAGTGCTTTCAGTAAAGAAGGCAATTCAGAAATTACACGCACACAAAAAAAGTTAAGGGAGATAGAAGATCGATCGAGACGTAATAATTTAAGAGTGGATGAAATTAATGAAAATGAAGGTGAAAGCTGGGAGGAAAGCAAACTTAAGGTAAAAAAAGTTTTTGAAAAATTACTGTCTGTTAAAAATGTCCAAATTGAACGGGCCCATAGAATTGGGAAAAAAGAATCAAGTAAGCCGAGAACAATAGTGATAAAACTTTTGGATTTTAAAGATAAAGTTGCAATTTTGAGCAAGTCGAGCAATCTGAAAGAAAAACATCGATAAAAACATCAATATAAACGAGGATTTATGTTCTGAAACAACGCAAATGCGGAAAGGTTTGAGGGAAAAAATGAAAATCGAACGAGCAGCTGGTAAGCTTGCATACATATCTTATGATAAATTGATAATTCGCGATTGGGTTGCAAAGAAAAGCAAAAATTAATCTTTGTAATATTTTGCATTAATTAACGGAATTTTATTTTTACTATTACTTATTTTAAATTAAACTGTTTTTATAATGGAGGAAAATTTCGTAATTAAATTTTGGAATGAAAATGACATTCTCGGTGATTATGACGCCGACTGAAATTATCTTCATCGCAAAATGTTAGAAAGTAAATATTACTCCGTTGCTGAATGTTCGCAACATCTTAAACAAAATAAAAGCACTTTTTCAATTTTAAATATCAATATTCGAAATTTTAATAAAAACATTGAAAATTTGAAAATATTATTAAATGAACTTAAACACGATTTTAAAATTATATGTCTGACGGAAACTTGGTGTAAAAGTGTGAAACAAATTATGAATTTCATCTACTTAATTACGCATCTATTCACCAACCACGTGAATTTAATGCAGTTGGGGGCTTTAGTATTTTTATCCACGATTCACTTAATGAAATTTTACGTAACGACCTCTGTGTTAACTAAACAGATTGTGAATCATTATGCATTGAATTAGTAAATAAAACTGAAAAAAACATAATTATAAATAATATTTATAGGCCACCATCTGGTAACATGAAAAAGTTTAAAACTCACCTTAAAACATTTCTAAACAAAACTAAAAATTCCAGGAAACATATTTATTTGGTCGGGGATTTTAACATCAACCTAATCAACTATGCTACTAATAATAATGCTAAGAATTTTATAAATACTCTTTTAGAAAATAACTTTATTCCAACAATAAACAAATCAACTAGAGTTACAAAAAAGTCTTTACTCTACTTGATAACATCAATACTAACAGTTTTTATAATAGTCATTTTTTAACAGGTATAATTCAGACTGATTTATCGGATAATTTTTCAACATTCTTAGAAACCAATAACATTTTAATTAACAATATTGCTACAAAATTTACAATATTTCGGCGACAGATCAATGAAAACTCCTTAAAGCATTTTAAATGCTGTTTAAAAATAATTTTTTTTATTTATTTTATTTTATTTATTTATTTATTTTAGATTTATTAAACACCCACTATACAAGTAAGGTAAATTAAGAGTTTTATACAAGATAAATATAAAAAATCTTGGAATTTTTTTTTTTTTTTTTTTCAACGTGATCATCTTGGAATATGTTTTTCAAGAATGTCCTTGAAGATAGTTCTCTGCTCTTTTAAGTTCCACTACTCAACTGCACATTTTAGAGATTAAAGATCCGTTTCAGTAATTAAATTATTGAGGCCGACAATTTTTATTTTTTTTTTTACTTTCCATTATTGCCTCCAGATTTAGTTCATGATTATTGCACAACCCTTTGATACTATCTAAAAAATGTTGTGGGGCTGTTTTTTTTTTCAGCTGCGACTTAATAATATCATATGTCATTTTACTGTTCATCAAACGAATAAATAAGTTTAGCTTGTTTTACTGTATAATAATTGATATATCTTCAATAAAAAATAAGGTATGAAAATAATTTTTGCTATGTTTTGAAACATCGAGGAGTGACTTAAGTGCATTTCTTCCAACTATATCAAGCTTTTGCATTAACATTTTTTTATGTTCACACAGCTCAAGACCATACGTTAGCGTTGGAACAGCTAAAGTTTTATATAACTGAACAATAGAGTTTGGGTGAGCAAAACGGATTTCTGATTGAATTAAGGTTTAAATTACCGCCCGGAAATTAGATATTCGGTGATCAATGTTTGATTTATTAAGTGAGGCAAAAGGGGAACTTTTTGTATCCCATGTAAAGCCTAGATGAGAATAGATCCCTGTCTCACTCCTTGCGTTAGATAGAAAGGATATGATTTGCAATCTTGATAAGAAACAGAAGCACTGCTTTCATAGTATAATGACGATATGGTATTAACAATATACAGAGGGAGTTTTTTATCATTGTAAAGTCTCTCAAACAGAATGTCCCAATTGCAGCTGTCAAACGCTTTTTCAGCATCTAGGGAACAGAGATAGACAGGTGAGTTATTGTTGTTGTAGTGTTTAATTGTTTCACTAATAACAAATTCAGCGTGTAGGGTTGAGCTATTTTTAGTGAAACCGAATTGAAGAGGATGAATTTCTTTTATTTCTGGACAGATTAGTAGGATAAGATATTCTATTAGTTTCGTAAAGATTGGAATGATGCTAATGCCGCGGTAGTTATTTGAATCAGTTAAGGATTTTTTATACCATTTAGTAAGTGGTATTATAAGTGATGTAGACATCGATTTTGGGGTTTGTCCATGATTAATAGAAAAGTTAAAAATATATGTAATATAAGGAATAAATGTAAATATATAAAAATAATGTTGATTGGAATTTAATTTTGCAATCAAGTGATGCTTACAATACTTTTAACTTGTTTCTTGGTCAATTTTGCAAGCAATATGAAATAGCGTTTCCAGAAAAAGAAATAATCATAAATACTAAATCACTTCAAAGTCTCCGATGTCAATAGGCTTACTAAAATCTTCAAAAAAGAAAGAAAAATTATATATAAAGTATCTTAAAAAAAAATCTTATAAAAATGAAATAACTTATAAAAATTATAAAAATATATTTGAAAAAAGGTTTTTAGTTTATATAAAGCCGTGTATATACAGTTTTTAAAGTCTAATTTTGTAAATATTTTCTTTATGGCGAAATATATATTATATTATTATATTATTAAAAAAAATAAAAAGATGCTCAAAAAGTTATTAAAAAAAACCAACGGAAACACTAAAAAAGTATGGAATGTAATTAAGGATTTATTGGAAAAAATAATTACAAAAAAAAAAACACTCTGCCAAAAAATCTTTTAATTAATGGAAAATTAATTATAGCTGAAAAACTAAACAACTACTTTGTTTATATTGGTCCAAAATTGGCTGCTAAAATTCCATCTAACTCAAATATCTTAAACTACAGGCCTATATCCATACTACCTTGCTTTTCAAAATTGCTAGAGAGAATAATGTGTAATAGATTATATAATTATCTAACTGAGAACAACATGTTGTATTGCAAGCAATTTGGTTTTTAAAAAAAAAATTCCACTGAACATGCAATAGTTGAACTTTCTGATCAAATATCTAACGCCTTTGATAATGACTGTTATACATTAGAAGTTTTCATTGATCTGTCAAAAGCTTTTGATACCGTAAAGGACAATATTCTAATAAAAAAACTTGAAAACTACGGAGTGAAAAATAAAAACTTACTTTGGTTTAAAGGGTATCTGACAAACCGAAAGCAATTTTTATATTATGATCAAAATAAGACAACTCCATATTCCATAACTTGTCGGGTTCCTCAGGGCTCAATTTTAGGACCACTCTTATTTCTATTGTACATAAATGACTTATACCTAGCAACAAATCTTTTAGACCTAATTTTGTTTGCTGATGATTCCAATCTTTTTTATTCTCACAGAGATATTAAAACACTTTTTAAAATAGTTAATGATCAGTTATGTAAAGTTAATGAATGATTCGTAAGT